GTGAAGATCTGCTGGATGTGCTCATTCCAGCACCGGGCCGATTGCTTCAGCCCATAAACCGCTTTCTTCAGTTTCAGCACCTTGCCCGGCACCTTAAACCCATCAGGCAGCTCCATGTAGATTGTCTCCTTCAGCTCGGCATGCAAGTACGCGGTCTTCACGTCAAACTGTCTGACGCAGTACTTGCGAGCCGCTGCCACCGTGAGAGCCACTCTCACAGTGTCAAAGTTGACTACGGGTGAAAACGTCTCCTCGTAGTCGATACCGGCTACTTGCGAGTAGCCGCAAGCCACGTAGCGGGCTTTCTTCTTGCTTTTTCCGCTCTCTGGGTCGTTCTTACTTTTGAAGACCCACTTTCCTTTCACTACTTTCTTTCCTGGCGGTGCGTCCACAATGTCGCCTGTTTGGTGACTCTCAAAAGAGTTCCATTCGTCAGTCATTGCTTCCGTCCATTCTTCAACGTCGTCCGACGCAATTGCCTCACTGTACGACCGTGGTTCTGGTCGACTTTCCTCCGTCTTTCCACACACGTAGTCGTTCAAGTGAGTTGGTCGCCGCCGTGTTCTTTCACTTCTTCTCAGCGGCAGCGCCACTGCTTCTGTGCTTTGTTGTCGTTGCTCAGCGGCTGCGGCTGGCTCAGTTTCTATTTGCTTTGGCACCGTCTGCTCGCTGGCGTCTCCCTCGGTGATGATGTCCTCCTCCTCGCTGCTGCTTTCATCTGTTTCAGAATCCTCTTCTTCTTCTTCCTCTTCAGGCTGGTGCTCCCCCTCAACGACTGGCGTCGTTTCCTGCTGATCGTCAGGCTGATCGCCATTCTCCCCCTCAGCCTGAGCGGTCTCATTCTGCTTGGAAAAGTAGAACTCTTCTCTGAAGGTTACATTTCTCGCCTCGGCCACCCTTCGAGTCTCTGGATCGTAAACATAATAGTTGCTCGACTCGTAAGGGTAGCCGAGGAACATGGTTCTGCGAGCTGTTGGCTGAAGCATGTTCCGTTGCACGTCGGGCACATGTGCATACGCGATGCACCCGAACGGTCGTAGACGCTCCATCGGCGCCTTCTTCCCGTAGAAACATTCGTACGGTGATTCATTCGTTCCTGTATGCGGCACCACAGCATCAGTCCACGCTGCGTGCTTCAAAGCTTCAGGCCACAGCTTCAGTGGCGCGTTCGCCTGGATCAGCAGCACTCTGGCGGTTGTCTTCAACTTCTGGATGAACCGCTCAGCGACGCCGTTCTGCTGGTGGCAGTACGCTGTTGAATGTTCCTGAAAAATACCTTTTTCCGCAGCAAATCTGCTGAACTCTCCGTGCAGGTATTCTCGGGCACAATCAGAGCGCAGCCGTTGCACCTTTTTTCCAGTGATCGCCTCTCCCCAGATGACGAATTCTTTCAATCTGGCGGCCACTTCGCTTTTTGTTTTCATCGGAAACACCCTGACAAGTTTGGAGAAGTCGTCAACAAAAATGATAAAGCACTTTTCTTGTCGCAATCCAGCGACTGGCATGAAGCCTACGTCCGTGTGCACTAGTTCGAGTGGTGCTGATGCTCTCGAGTTCGCCTTCGGGTACTTCTGCTGCTTTGCTTTTCCCCGAAGACAGGCGTCGCAGTTGGACACCGTACTGATCGGCATCTCAGGGTTCTCCTTCCTGATCAGCTGCGTTCTGGTGGCACCGGGATGGTTCAGTCGGCGATGCCATTCCTCTGCTGCTCCAAGGCACACTTCTTTGTCTACAACAAACACCCTGTGTCTGGCGGTGCCACTCAACACAGTTGTTTTTCCTTTCTTCACCTCCGCTCCTGTGCTGCAGAACTTCACCTCAAATCCTTCTTCACACAGTTTTGCGACGGAGACGAGATTTGAGCTAAACTCAGGGACAAGCTTTGCTTCTTTCAGCACTACGTTCTTCAGCGCCACATCTCCGACGCCCGTGATCTTAGACTTCTTTCCTTCTGCTGTGGTCACCGTGCTGTGCATCTGTCTCAGTCCTGTGAATGCACTCGGCTCATTCACAAAGTGGTCCGATGCACCACTGTCCAGGTAGTATTCACTGCTACCTGTGCCTGAGAATAATGAGACAAATGACGAACAGACGTATTTTGAAGTGTTGTTATTGTTCTTGCCCTTCTCCGGGCATCTTGCTACAATATGGCCACATTGACCACAACCATAGCACTTGACCGCCTGGGGGTTGCAGTCTTTAGCCCAGTGGCCCTTCATGCCACATTTTCCGCAGAAAGGAACTTTTGCTCCGGTCTGTCTTCCAGTGATGGCAGCCTTCAGGGCAGTTTCGCCCTTTTCCTTCTCCAGGTACCGCTTCGTCTCCATCCGGAGGATTTCTTTGGCTTCCTCAAAGTCGTCTTTCTCTTGCAGTCGATTTCGGGTGGCTTCAAGTTCATCGCTGATTTGGTGAACAAAACGAAGGTAAATGATTTCGTCGCTCAGGTTTATTCCGGCCATTCTGGCCACCTGGATTCCCTTCTCGTACTCAGAAATAAACTTTTCGACATTGTTGATGTCCATCTTCGTGTCGACCAGCTGGTTAAAGGCGATCATTTTGGTGGTGCCGCTGACTTTCTCAAAACGGTTGACCAGGTACGTCCACATGCTTCGCGGACACTTGCTCACATTGTATCCTTTCAATGCCAAGTCTGATACGATGGTCGCTGAGCAGTGACGAACCATGAACGCAAATGCCTTTGCTTTCTTCTCCTCGTCGATTTCGCCGATCTTCGCAGGGTCGACCTGCTCCCACCATCCTTCTCCGGTGAGTTGTGCTTCCACCTGCATCTTCCAGCAGGTCCAGTTCTCCGCTGTCAGCTTCTCGATTCCTGTGGATGACATGCTTAGATAGAATTCTACTTCTGCTGCTGCTCAAGTCCAGAGCCGATGTTTCTGCTCAAGTTCAGAGCCTGTGGTGCTGCTCAAGTTCAGAGCCGGTGCTTCAGCTGTTTCGGGTTCAGTTGCGCTAGGTCCGCAGTCTCATAATCTGTAAAGATGTGAGTTTATTTACAGGTAAAAGAGATGTTGACAAGACAAGAAACAGAGAGCGAGTGCTCGAGAGAAAACAGGATCATCATTCAGACAGCGTGGTGACCCGTGCGTACAGGATGTTACGCCCGCTGGATCACCGAATCACAACACTTTCATTGCTGGACCTTCCGATTTTTTTTGTTATTTGGGCCATGTGATGTACTTCGTTCTTTTGAGATCATATCTCTGTAAATCTCCATACGGTCGTAACTGTTGCAGTGCTTTTTGGCTCCGGGGTTGCAACAGTGTACAAGTTGTGTACATGTGTAATCAGGCAGTGACTGATGCTTTCACTGCTAAGGCTTAACAGTGCTAAGCAGGCACTAATTGAATTAATGCAATCATCACCGAAGTGGCGTGTATTGGCTCTGTGTATCTGATCTTCCAGTCAGTGTTTGTTTATAGGTAGTGAATTGGCTCAAGCGGGCTAAATGTCGGCAATTGGCGCGCTAAATGATTTTGTTCACAAACACTAAGTTTTACTTCTACATGAGTCTCATTGTTAGAAAATGTGGGAATCACAATTTGTGAGTCACATTGTATGTGCCAAAAGTTCATGATATACAAGTGCAAATGGCGTGCTGTTGTCAAGAGCTTGTAATTGGTCATCAGGATAGGGTGATTGTGTGTGTAGAAGGACAATGTAAAAACTAGTGTGTCGGCTAGCGAAGCGAGCTCAGCAAGCGTAGCAATTTAAATAATTAGTCGGTTGATTGGTTTTCTTAGCTAACACTGCTAGTGTTGTACTAATGAAATGGTGGTACGACTAAAAGGTGGGAGGGGGGGGGGTAATTAGTGAAAAAAGCAGTTTAAAATACCTGAACACTCTTTCAGAAGCAATTTTAGGCAACTGGTGGTAAACTTATTGTAACGTGCTAGAGCATTTAAACTAGCAAGTATGCGAATTGCAAGATAACATTTTTCAACAAAGTTCAATTGTAATACCTTTTTAAATATTTACTTATCAAAAACATAAAATTTACTTTAACTACATTTAACTGTAATAAACCAGTTTACATGAAAACTTTTAAGTTATTTTTTGCATTTCATCATCGATGTTATCGCTTCTGATTTGTGTACAGCATTACACTTTTAATGCACTATTGCATTATCTTATGGTTGCCCTCTGTTTAAAAACAAAAATGATCAAGAAAAAAACACTATTTTTTGCTACTCTCAAACTTTACTATTTATAATGCTGATAATCAATTAAATCAAACTAAAATAAAGGGAGAAGTAAATAGGGGTAAAGCAACCTTGAGAAACATCTATTTTTTTACTATCTAATCAGTTGGCGGAGGCGGCGGCAGCATCAGTGGCAGTACTACTAAAATGCAACAGCAGCTTTTGCAGACGAAAATCAACGCAAGAGAAAGTTGGTACTCAAAAGTAATCGAACTGACTTTTCAAACTACCGACGTTCACGCCAAGCACATGTACAAGAAGTGAAAGTAGTAAAAATCGCTTCTGGCTGAAACGTTTCCACATCGTTTGTCTGTTTGTTTGCCAGCGTTTGGTCATTATCAACCAGCAAGTTTGTCTGTGTGTGTTTATATAAGCTGAATGTTGGCAGTAAATTGTTGGTAGTGTAATTGTTTTCCTACTACTGCTGATTGACTGAAAAAATAAAAATGTTTTTGACTGTGCTACTTTTAGTCACCGTGTTGGCTTACTTGTAAGCGAGTTTTACAGCATCTACATTTTTGAATTGAGTTGTAACTTTAAACTTTTATTTTGTTTTAGATACATTCGCCACCGATACAGCTACTGGTCTAAGCGAGAAATCAGTGGTCCAAAACCAAGTGTGTTTACGCTGGGAAACGCCGGCCAAATTGCCCGTGAATCTCCGCTAGAAATTGAACGCCGTTTAGCCGCCCAATTTGGCCCCGTCTATGGCAACTTCAACTTTCTGGAACCAGTGTTGACAGTTGCCGATGCCCGCCTGCTGCGCCTCATTCTCATTAAAGACTTTAACCACTTTATCAACAGGCGAGCAGTCACTAGCTACCACATTGCCATCAACAATGGCCTGCTTTTTGCAGAGGGCACAACGTGGAAGCGGTTGCGGGCGGCCGCCAGCCCTAACTTTACCAGCGGACGGCTAAGGAGGGCCGTTCCCGTTATCAATAACCTTCTTGATAAACTGGATGAGTACTTTGAGCAGGCGGTGAAGGAGAAGGGCGGGCTCATTGCCGACTCTCGGGACCCGTTTATCGGCTTTGCCATTGAGACGATAGCGAACACCTCCTTTGCCACTGAGACGGGCGATTCCAGCGGCCTTGGTGGCGCCCGAAGCGTCAACCCTTTTGTCACCTATGGATTGCAGCTGCCGGAAGTGAGCCCTCTGCGGGCGGTGGCCTATTTCACCCTTCCGGCCTGGGTGAACGCCCTGATCGCCGTTGATCACCCCTTCAACGCCGTGGCCACTGACTGGTACATGAAGGCCATTTTAGAAATAATTCGACGCACTAAGGAGGAAAGAAATGCAGAGGGTAACAAAAGTTCTGCTGCCCACAACAAAAATCTTGTTCAGCTGCTGGTTGAGGCGAGTGTCGCTGAGTCAAAGGCAACAGACGAGAGTAAAAGCTCAGCCACTGAACTTGAACAGTTGACGGCGTCAATGGAAAGAGGTACTAGTGAATATCACTATTTTGAAAACACAATTAAACTTAATTCTCTTTTTTAGAGTTTGATGACGAAAACAACAACAGCGGTAAAACTTCTACAAAATTTGCCACCAAAACCTCAAAGCTCACTGATGAAGAAGTTGTTGGCGTTGCTATGAACATTTTTGCGGCAGGTTTTCACACCATCGCAGTAGCCCTCACCGGCGTGGTCTTTGAACTGGCATGGGCACCGCCGATCCAGGAACGACTGGTTGAGGAGTTAAAGGAAAAGCTGGAATCGCTGGATCCGCACTCTGACGAGTACTATCAGGTGTTGATGGCCACCGAAAACGGCTGTCCACTGTTAGACGCCGTCATCAAGGAGACGAACCGAAAGTACCCGGCACTAGCTCGACTAGAACGTCGTCTCGTTTCTGACAGCTACACACTGCCGCTGGAAAATGGAAAGCGGCTTGAACTGAAGAAAGGACAACTGATTGAGATTCCCACAGTGGCAGTGCACTACAACTCGGGTAAAATAGTTTAAAACTCAGTTTTGTGAATAGTTTTTTTAACTGCTAAGCATTTTGTTTCAAGAATACTACCCTGAACCGGAAACATTCCGTCCAGAGCGTTTTTTGCCTGAAAATAAGGACCAACTAGTTCCATACGCTTACCTCGCCTTCGGAGAGGGGTCACGAAATTGCATTGGAATGCGATACGCCTACCTGGAAATGAAGTACGCCCTTGCTCGACTGTTGCCTCGCTACCGTTTTGAGGTGACACCCGAAACGCCCAAAAAATTGAAAACGCTGCCTTTCAAATTTTCTACCACTTTTGAGGAGTTTCCGCTGAAAGTAGTCAAGCGAAAAACATGAAATTGATTTTGTTTATTAGTCACTGGATTACAGATAAAAACAAAAATAAAAAAGCTACACAGTGAACTAGGCAACTGCAGCAAACTTACAAAACTTGAAAGCAAAGTAAAGCTTAAAAACAAGAATAAGAGCTCAACTGAATACAAACCAACAACCAAATAAAAGTAAACACACAATAATTTACAATAAAGTAACCCACAATAAACTTAACTAGATTAAGCATACAAGCAAGCTCAAACTCTTTTTCTTTTTTTTCCTTGCAAGAAAACCAACCAGTTTTCAATCAGTAATTACCAAAATCACATAATCACTCAATCGACTTTGGCAGAATTTTGATCGGGTTGCCCGAGGCGGTGATCACGTACTGACTGAGCGGCCAGGTCCACTCCTCTTCAAAAGCGAGGAAAAGGTAGCGCATCGTCTGGCCGAAGAAGGTGGAAGCCAGTTCCTTTGCAGACAAACCACTACTGCCTTCAACCAGTGCCTGAAAGTTGGGCAGCCGTCCGGTGCCGGCCTCCACCTGGCAGGCAATGTAGTCCTGCAGGGCGAGAAAGTGCTCCCAGACAAACTCGCGGTAGTTCCGGTCGTGGGTGGTGCGATAGGCGATCAGGTAGGAGAGGGCCAGTTGCGGCAGGAGGGTTACTTGCTTGCTTGTTCCCTCCTTGCTGTTGACGAGTGATTTTGAAGGGGAGTGAGGTTCTTGAAATTCAATTTCTGGCGTTCCACCCTTTCCCGAGATTTTATTCGGTGATGAAAAATTCCGCTTTTTAGCAGATTCGCTGTAGTCATAGGCAAAGTAGAACTTTTGCGGCAGCTGGTGGGCAAGCTCAGCTGAGTTGGCTAACGTTGCTCGACGACAGGTTTCAGTGATGTTCTGGCCGGTACTTTGCAGTCGCCAGTCGGTCCAGAGCAGACTGGGCGGCCTCTGCCGCTCCCCGATCAGCACTGTGTCTCGTCTCGCCTGAGCGGTCATCAGAAAGGTGGCTCCGTAGGCGCAGTCGACGCCCTCCATTTCACCCTCCTTCTCACTGAGGTACACCAGGGCTTCACTTTCCTCATCATCAACTTCATCATCATCTTCTTTTTTAGTCTTCCTATTTTTTGCCACTCTACGCTTATCAATCTCATCCAACTCATTATCTTGGTTGTCAGCGCTGTTGTTATCTGCCTGCTCTACCTGCACCACCTTTACTTGCGAACCGCTGATAAACAGCATAGGGCTGGTGGAGTTGAAGTGGTTGATAACAGTGACATTAGTTTCATGATTGGCAAGCCAGGCGTTAAAGCGATCCAACGAGGAGCTGTAGTTGAAGTTAGTGAAGCGGTGAAAGTTAACTGAAAAAAGTTTACACAACAAAGAAAATGTTTACTTATTAAGGTGTTTCCTTATCAACAGTATAATGATACTTACCCATCGTCCAGTAGTACAGCCAAGAGGCAGTCTCATTGCGGCCGCCGTTGTTCTCCCGCCACCAGCTCATACTCTGCTCGCAGTACGCAAAACTGCGCTGGTAATCCTCGTAGTTGCCGTAGCCCCGTCGTTCTCGGTAGAAGGTAATTGCCTCTATGGGCCACCGATCGCAAAGGGTGTTCTTCGGCAGCTGCCAGACGTCGGCCAGGCTGGAGGCAATCCTCGAGGCAGCCCTCAAGAACGTCCACTCTCCAGTCAGTTGATAAGCGGTCACCAGGCCGGGAAAAAGCTCCAACGCCGGGGGAGATGATTTTTTGGTGATCGCCTCCAGCACGTAGTACCTCGCCTCTGCCTCCTTGTCCTTCCAGCCCATCAGGTGGAAGGTGATCAGAGCAGAGAGGGCCACCGACGCCTCGACCGCTGACCTTTTCGACTGATCGGGCGTCAGCGGGCCCCAGGCAAAGGAGCGGTAGTTGTCCCAGATGACGGCCGTCGTGCCGGCCACCAGCTCTCGGGCCATCGTCATGTTTGTGGTGTCGTCCACCATCAGTTTGCCGTTGTTGGCTAGAAAGCCACTGAAGGGGTGGACGCAGTTGTGGCGGCTGTTTTGAGCACGATGTAGATCAGCTGCCGTGGGGTACTTCATCTGGGCAAGACTGGTCGGAAGTTGATCTGGTTTGAAGCCTTTTGGATGATGGTCGTTGTTGTTCTGGTGGTGATAAGCCCAAGTGTTGGGCGTCATGTGCCAGCAGTGGCCTGAGATGGCCCACATGAGGAGAAGTAGGAGGAAAGTGGTGAGAAAAGAAGACCAAAAAGTTGGTTTGGGCATCTTGTACAAACAACTGATTTGCGTGCAACTGCTGCTGTTGTTTGTAGGGCAAACCAAATCGTCCCCTAAACAACTCAACGCTTTTATATGTTTTGTAGCATGATGAAGGGAATGCCAGCAATGATGAGCATCTGTTTGTTGCCAATAATGTTTTCTTCAGTTATTGAAAGTTGCAGAGAAGGGGAAAAAAGGGCAAAGAATAATTAAAAGTGGAATGTCTTGGCTCTCTGCCGGTGGTAGTGGTGGTGACTGAACTTTACAGAACTGACATCGATTCAAATATCGTCTGTGTGTTTTATTGTTTTGTCATTTTCCTTGCTAGTTTGTAGTGTGCTCTGGGTGTTTGTAAAAAGGGGAAAAAGAGCTAAGACTATTTTTCATGTACATTCTAATTTTAGGAAAAAGGGGATTTCTGAACTGCGCAGCTCAACATCCAAGCATTAGGTTTGCTGACACCCATTGCAGTTTTCTTGCTTATTTGCAATATGGTTTCACACATATTTGCTGTTTCAATTTTTAAGTACTGTATTTGTAAATGAAAACTACTACTTTCTGTTAATTATTAAAAGAAATCTATTTCAGTTAACCAATTTCACCACTTTCAGCTCACTGTACTCAACTCACACTTAATTGGAATGTGTGAACCAGTGAAAAGACTACCAGCTACCAGTAGACATTACACTAACTCTATTTGTTGTTGCTGCTGTTGCTACTGCTGCACTAATTACTTTTCATCCGCAGCCAAAAAACCATTAGTGTGTGCAAATGGCTGCTGACAAAACTGAAAACGAAAGTTCAAGGTGACATTGACGATTCAATGTTTTCATTGAGCCCTCTAAGTTTTTATTTTTTTCAGCAAAAAAGAAGAAAACTTTGCACTCCTAAGTAAACATCATTTTCACTGGTCGTCGTCTCACGTTTGCCACTGTGATTGTTGATGCTACCATTTACCAATCAGCAGTTCAATAACAAACCCACTAGCAACTAAACCTGCAAAAAACAAAAAAATCACAGTGGTGTAGCTTCTGTCACAACAAGCAAACAAACTAATGGCCAATACTGAGAATCAATTACAAAAGAAGAAAAGTTGCAGTAGCAACAGAAACCAGCAGTAGTGCTTTTTATGCTTACATTTGTTCATTAGTAGCTGGTCTCGTGAGAGAGTGATTTTGTACGGTTCACCAGTAATTGGTGTTTTGTCTGGTTTTAGTTGCTGTTGCTGTTGATGCACTTCATTTTAACGCAAAGACCACCACCACCACAACAACAGCAACAACAGTTGTCTATTTCGTGATCGTTCAATTCATTAGTCAATCGCCCTTTACAGTTAGCCAGTGATCACTACTGATCAGTCACAAGTGCAAGCATCATCACCACCGACGATCTAGTAGATTTTTCATTTACAATCCTCATTTTGCTTCGAACACTTCACAATTTGAATGTTTTAGCATTTTAGCATCCTGTCAATCTAAATTTAATCAATAACCAACTGTTCACTATGGCTGTTTGCAACAAACCAGCCATCACTTTTGTCCTTCTGATTGCAGGTTTTGCCATCAATCCAGCTTTGCTTCTTGACTCGCTGAACAGCACCTCTGAAAAGTGTGCCGTTAACCCATGGGTCTTCGGTGTCGGTTGCTGGACTGCTGCCATCAAGTCACAGCAGCATTTTAACAGCAACAACGACATCAAAATGATCGTTCCATTTGGCTGCATCAAGAACTCTAGCACTGTCGCCAACTTCACCGACTGTTTCCACCAGTTTGAAGCAGTACTCTCTTTCTCTTCTTCCATCTCCTCCTCCCCTACAAAGGTGGGGCAGATATACCAAACGACCGGAGTGAGTTTTTATGTCAAATATTAAAAAATTGTTTTATTATTACAAATTCTTTCCTTTTGTTTCAGTCCCACTTTCAACAGCATCAGATTTGCAGCAGTCTCTCGGTGTACGGCCAGTGCGTGCGCCGAGTTCTCGAACAACAAGGACCAAACAACTGCAGCGCCTTTGACCGGGACCTGGTGGTCACCCTGCTCCGCCGACGACTCGAGGCGGTCGAGCTGGGGCTGAAAGAGCCGGTCAGTTGTGCTGAAAAATTGCATGCCTCGCACATCTTCGTCTACTGCTTTGATCAGCAGTGCCTCTTTTCGGTTTTCTCCCTGGCTACCATCTTCTTTATTGGATTCTACCTGGCCTGTCTGTTTACACTATACTATCTGATCACCAAAGACGAGCAGGAGAACAGAAGCAAAAAGGAGAAAGAAGAGGAGGAGAAGGACAACGAGGGCACAAAAAAAGGAGCAGGAGGCAACATTTACCACCTTCTAACCAGTGGTGAAAACGTTCACTTTGACAGTGATAGCCGCAAACCCGTCTTCTTGCAGCTGTTCTAAGCGGGAATGCAGTTTTTATTACCACTTACAACTTTTTCATTCCATTCTATTTTTGATTTTATATTTTTTCATATTTTCTTTTTCCCCAAATATGCGGCCAATGCAGCTGTGACGCTGGCATTTCTAAGTTTACAATTGTAACCCACATATTTTTAATTTTTATTGCAACTTTGTTGTTTTTAAATATTTTTTTGCAAACTTTGTTTTTCGTCCACTAGAAAGCGCTTCAGTTTTAGCAAACATTCTTTTCAACACAAAAATTGATTTTATTCTGGTAATTAGCAAGTTTCTGTTTGACAACCGTATGACATTAATCTTACCAGCTTGTAATTGTCAACGTCTCAATTGATAATAAAGTTATAACATTACTTCTGTATAAAAAAATTGTAACGACAAAGCTAAAAGTGAACAAATTCAATTTCTAAATTCTAGTCAAAATGCACCAGGCTTGCTCAAACCTTTTCAGCAAAATGGCAAATTACTTTTTAGTACTAAAGGTGCTATTTTTAAACAGCTTTTGAATCAAAAAACCACCACCACTTCAACTTAACCTGTCTGGCATTAAATCACATTACCTGCACACTTGCACACCTGACATTCATCACGCTTGAAAAAAGGCAAACGAAAGCAGACACTAAATGTGAGCAGATGACGTACGGTAAAGCTACCTCAGGTAGCTCAGATCAGATCAGCTCTGACGGCCCTACGGCCACTGCCACCACCACGACCAGTGCTAAACTGAACAGCAATTTGCTGGTGGTGGCAATCTCACCGATTCTACCGAATCAGCTCGGTGCAGTGCAATGTGCAATTCCTGTTCTGTGCTGTTCTGGTTCCCTGTTTAGAATATGACGTCACCCTAATAGTCAGAAGAGCTAGCAGCAGCAAAGCACCAGAATCGTTCCAGAATTGCATTGCCGATTCAGCATCGTCGGTTGGCTTTCTCTCTCTATTTCTCTTTTTACCCGTGCACTTGCAGTACTTGTCCATTTCCCGTTTCTTCTTCCTTTTTTTCACTTTTTTCCGCCTTTCTCTGGAACGATCCAGCAGACGACCAGTAGACACCGACCTACCGACTGACTGACTGACTACTGCTGCCTTCCTTTTTGCCTGCAACTCTGGGCCAACTCAGCATGTGAGCTGTATTGTCTGTCCATGTGTGTGTGTGTGCTTGACTGAGTGAGTCAGTGGAGAATTTGGAAATGAGCGAAAGAGAAAAAAACATGGCCAAAGTGAAAGGCAATTGCCAAGGCTAGGAGCCAAGGGATCGGCGATCCAAAAAGAAGTAGATGTATTATAGAGAAGAAAAAAGAAAGAGATGACTGCCAAATGAAACGGGCTGCAGTACTGGCAGTGGCACCACTTTTGGGCACCAACACATACACAGGCGACCATTGCCGACAAATAAGCAAGTCAAGAGCAAGTGAAGGAAGTGGAAATGCAGGAAAATAGGGAGCGATGGGAGTGAGGAAAGGGAGCACCAGAGCGCCAATTCACTGGAAACTACTGTGCTGCCGTTGCTGTTGAATCGGGCGCACTTGGTGCCCTACTTATGCCACTGTGGCACTCTCTTTTCTTCATTTTCATTCTCTCTCCCTTTCTTTTTCTTTCTGTCCCCTTTCAGTCAGTCAAGGGTGCAAGAGAAGAGACGAGAAGAGGAATAGGGAAATCAAACTTTTTGCACATTTTTCCTCCATTTTTTGCTGTTGTTGATTGTGGTGGTGTTCTCCTGTGTGTCTGTGTGTGCTCTTTGTTGTGCAATGTGTTTGCTTTTTTAAGTGCTG